TGACTATAACCAGTACTACACAGTTCATTATTAATAGTTCCCAACAGCTATCCTGACTATAACCGATGCTACACAGTTCATTACTAACAATTCCAAACAGCTATCCTGACTATAACCAGTACTACACAGTTCATTATTAATAGTTCCCAACAGCTATCCTGACTATAACCGATGCTACACAGTTCATTACTAACAATTCCAAACAGCTATCCTGACTATAACCAGTGCTACACAGTTCATTACTAACAGTTCCAAACAGCTATCCTGACTTTATAACAGTTGCTACACAGTTTACCTACAGATATTTCCAAACAGCTATCCTGACTTTATAACAGTTGCTACACAGTTCACCTACAGACAGTTCCAAACAGCTATCCTGACTTTATAACAGTTGCTACACAGTTTACCTTACAGACAGTTCCAAACAGCTATCCTGACTTTATAACAGTTGCTACACAGTTCACCTTCAGACAGTTCCAAACAGCTATCCTAACTTTATAACAGTTGCTACACAGTTCACCTACAGACAGTTCCAAACAGCTATCCTGACTTTATAACAGTTGCTACTCAGTTTACCTACAGACATTTCCAAATAGCTTTTCTGACTTTATAACCATCCTTTAAAAACTTTTATATCAAGGTAGTTTCACCAACCATGAATTCCTGGATGTTGGCCACCAGGTGTACAGAATGATGGACCACTTGTTGGAATGTTGTGAAACAGACTCTCAACAAAACTGGGAAGGTTAGACTTTTTTTTTAATCAATGACTCATTGAAATAAATTGTATTAGACAAAATTATTAAAATAACATAAAATTTAGTCATCTTATATCTCTTGTTGTTAATTATAATTATCAAATACTTAGAAGAAAACATGTTTTTTTTTCATTTATTATAGTTGCAAACTTTTCACTTACTTTTACTTCAAAGGCATATTTATCTAAAAGACTCTCTACACAGGTTGGAAAACTGTTTCAGCTGACTTTGTTTTTACTGCTATAGAAGAAAGTAATTTACCTAATGATCTGTTTAAGGTAAGAATACTAGCAATATGTATACAAAACTTTATAACATTGTTACCATTTTTACTCTGGTTCTTTGCTTTACTTTTACCAGCTTTACTGCTATAGAAGAAAGTAATTTACCTAATGATCTGTTTAAGGTAAGAAAACTAGCAATATGTATACAAAACTTTATAACATTGTTACTGTTTTTACTCTGGTTCTTTGCTTTCCTTTTACCAGCTTTACTGCTATAGAAGAAAGTAATTTACCTAATGATCTGTTTAAGGTAAGAAAACTAGCAATATGTATACAAAACTTTATAACATTATTACTGTTTTTACTCTAGTTCTTTGCTTTCCTTTTACCAGCTTTACTGCTCCAAACTGAGCCAGCACTTCTGTAAATCATCTCTGTATATATATATATAATAGCAGGATATTTGTCTGTCGTGCTCTGTATTTCCTGAACAGTTAATTGTATAATATATATCAAAGTGCTTTTTTTAAGAGTACATTGCAAAAAAATTGTACAGTTTTACAGTTCCTAATATTTTTTATTGATATCATCATTAGTCTTCATACGTGTTGAATGGTCTGTCTGAGAAAAACATTTCTCTCAGTGAGGAAATTTCATGAAAAAATATCCAGAGAAAATAGTAACTGTGGCTACTTAACAAACCTGACTGCTCTATTATGCATCCATTGTATTGAAACCCAAACATTTTTGCCAACAATGCATTGCAGTCAGTAAGTGGAATGACAAAATACGGTTGTAAATGGCCCACTAGGAAATCATAATTGCATTGAACGTAACATAATGTTTTGGGACAGCACAGGACCTATTGGTCCATCTTGGCTGTTCCATCCTCTAAACTTTATTAAAATAATTTAAAAAAATAGCTTAAAGCTATCCCATATTATTCATATACTTATCAAGCTTTTTCTAAACTCATTTAAATTTACTGCCTCTACAATATCTGAAGTCAACTCATTCCAAAGACCAACCACCCTGTTAGAAAAATGAAACTGTCGTAGCTGAAGATGACTCCTACCTTGCCAAAATTTATATTTATGTCCCCTTGTCCTAATATTCTCACTGTTAAATATAGAAAAAAGATGATGCAT